GGGGGGGGGGGGGGGGGAGAAGAAGTGCAAAAATCTAATTGAAAAAGTTGGAGGTCAATGTTTGAGAAGCATTGTTTTATTTTTCCTGTTGTTTATAAGGAAATGGCTCAGGTGGAGGCAGTTGTTGTTCCAGTGTATGGGGCAGCTTCCATCTCCCAAACATTTATTTTAGCCACGCAGGAAAGGTAGCAGAGAGTTGGGAAAAGGGAATTAGTGTTAGCCTTGGCTGGAAAATAGAGTTCTGGTTTGAAAAAAGAAAAGAAATGAAAATGTCAAGACTTTGTTCTTCTTTGAGATGAAACAAAAGCCTTTTGAATAAGTTCAAGGAAAAACACACTTCCAGAAGAGCCAGTCATCAGCGTACTTCTCTGGGATGTGGAAGATTTCAGGTATATGTTCTTGCACTTCCTCACTAGGAACAGGCACTTGAAACCCGTATCCCAGTTGGACACTTTGTGGCTTCTGGCTTGCCTCTAGTAAATGCTTCGCTTTCCCACTGGATTTTGAACAAGAGTCTTGAACTGCGAATGAAAATGTCATTGAAACTAATGTGTTTCTATTTTCATTAAATTGTAATTTACTGGCAAAAATAAGAGTTTGAAAAATTGTTGGCAAGATCGACTGAGCATATATAGCTCTCAGAATAGAGGGGATGCTAAAGAAAAATGTTTGGGTCCAAACTCTGTTCTCAGCTTCAGTGACAAAATATGGGTGCAGCTGAGGGCAACATGACCTTGCCCTTTGATTTGCCAGGGAAGTAAAAAATTTCTCCAAACAACTGAATTGAATATTGTGTCTCTTTTGGTACAGTGACGATTACACAACACTGTTTATTCTCTTTTTTTTTTTTTTTTTCATCTCATCCGTCATTCACAGCTCAGATTTCTTCAGTTATTCCAAGTTGGTTTACTGTATGATGCAAAATGAAAGTCAAGTTAATTTCGCGCTCTACCCACCTCAGTCTGATTAACGCAAATTAAATTTTGTGCTAATAAGACTGAGTGTGTGACCATAATTGGAAACCCTTGAGTTCCTCTGACTGCAGGGAAAGTGCTGGTTTTCCCTCCATCATGAAAACATTTGAATCATAACATCTGGGAAATTTGCAACAAACAATGGTATCAATTTGGGGCCTCTATATAAAGTTTATTCTGTTTCTCATCAGGGACCATGAATACATATCTGTATCAGATTGCTGCAGCCCTTGGACCATTTGGCCCATCTGCCCACCAGAGGAAGGCTAAAGGAGCAGTGACACACACCTAATAAGAGGGAAATGCTGAACATCTGTGTTTCTCCATTACATGGAAATCCTCTTGGGCTAATAACTGGCTGCTATACCTTAAATAAGTGGACAATTATTGGAGTCTGTTACCAAAGTCTGAGCAGGTCAAGTCAGCGGGAAGTGTTGCTAAGGTTGGGATCTTTTACCAGCCATTGGGAGAAGGAGGAAAAAACCCTGGAAGCAAGAGCTGATAGACTGGCTAGAAGGGAAGAGAAGGGAAGGGAAAGGAAGGCAAAGCAAGGCTTTGATCTAAAGACAAAGAAAGCTTCAGAGTGGTAAGGAAAGAGTATGGTAAGTTTGAGTTGATAGTCCTATTCCATTTAGATTTATATATTTCTTGTATTTGCTAAAGCAAAGAGTGATTGCTTTCCTCAACTCCAGCAATGCCCTCTTGCTCCCGCTATTACCTGGTCCCAGAAGAAGAAAGTTGTAAACCCAAAGTAAAACCACAGCAGGTAGAGTTTGGGAAAAGAGTGACTGTAACTTCTGGGACTATGGGAGATCCTGGTATCAATGAAGTCATGCGCCTGTGCGCTTGTAAGACGAAGGAAATGTGACCAAGTACCTGGCACCAGAGATGATGCAGGAGCACACTGAGATTTAAATAATGTAGAAGCACATAAATCCTGTTGGAATACAAACAGAGAAGCCTAGTGAGTGTCAAACAGGATGGGAGTAGTTGTAAATATACCTGCATTATAAAGGAGCATTTACACTTCCTGATGGGAATTTGTGGAGATGTATGTCATTCATGGGCTACCACCCTTAGCAGCAGGAACGTTATGATCGCACAGCAAGTTCATTAAGTATGAAACAAGCCAGCAAACTCTTTAAAAAGCGAAGTCTCTTACAGCATACCATCCTAATAAAAGGTTTTAGGGTCAGAAATGTCACCACTCACCAGAGAGCTGTTCAGCTGATGTTTTGAAGTCAAGCCCTGCTCTCTAACCCTGAGATCAATGGGAATTTGCTATTTTTTTCTATGGAGGCAGGATCAAACTCAGAGGCAGGATGAAACACCTAACTGGAAGAACTGTGGCACCACTTTTGTGTGTCTCTATCAGGTCTGAATTTAGTTTTAGCAATATAAAATGGGCTTCTCCTATTTGTCCTCTGTCTTTCTGACAAACAACCTTATAAAGTAAACATTCACAAAGCAGAAAGAACAGATTGTACATGGCTATAACAACAACATGTTTTTAGTCTGACTGCCCCATAATATATGAAAATAAGACTACAAAAGAACTGTAAATAAGACAAAGGTCTGAGCACAAGCTAACCTACTTGTACATCGTTTCTACTGCAAAATGAACCAATGGGACCTGGGCTTGTGTAGTAAATAGCCCTAAATTTCTTCCCTCCCTGTTGCTGTGGGAGTATAATTTAGCCAGGGAGTATTGTCTGTTTGTGACATCATCTTGAAACAACAGCTTTAAAAATGGAGACAGGTAATATTCCCCATTAATTATATTCCACATCTGTAAAGCATATACATTGCATTGTGGTTAAATAGAGCAACATTTGGCAAGGGGCTTCCTGAATATCTGTAGCCAGTTTTCTCATGTACAGTTTTCTCATCCTTTTGTAGAATTGAAGATTGGTCTCTAGCAGTGGATGGGGAAAGGTAGGATTTTAATGAGGTATGAGTGAAACAAATGAAGGGGGCTCCATCTCCCAGTACTGTGCAGCGTCACCTGCCTTTGTGGAAGTCAGCTGTAAAACCTGGTGTCTGAACACATAACATATGCCCAATGTGACAACACTAATGGAGGCATCTTTTTTTTTTTTTTTCATTCTAGGTATGGGGAGTATTTTTGTTTTTGTAAATGAAACACATGCATCCAGGTACCAAGGATGGATTTGCAACACCAGTAGTTATGGATTGACATGCCCTTGCTTTAAGACTTATATTTGGCTGCAGCAGGACAAAGGCACAGGGAAATCTCTTCAAGAGCTAAAGATCTCACCTGACCCAAGGGACAGAGATTTTTTTCTGACACACAGGATAAAATAGGACCCCAAGCACCATGCAATGTCCTCCTGTTGATCTTAGTGGTTGCTGTTATTCAGCAGGCTGCTGCAAGCCAGTGGTGTGGCCTCAGAGCCTGCCAACTTGTGCCAAGTGTGTACTCTCTCCCACAGACACAGTGACAAGGAGAGGAGGCTGCTCTTTTCCAAGTGCTCCCATCCTGACCTCACACTCCGCACGCTAAAGCTGGAGGATGAGGCAAGGATAGACTTCACAGAGTCATAGAATCATCTAGGTTGGAAGGGACCTTTAAAATCATCACGTCCAACTATCAACCTAACACAGCCAAAACCACCACTAAGCCATGTCCCTAAGCATGACGTCTACCTGTCTTTTAAATACCTCCAGGGACAGCGATTACAGTGCTTCCCTGGACAGCCTGTTTCAATGTTTGACAACCCTTTCGGTGAAGAAATGTTTCCTAATATCCAATCTAAACCTCCCCTGGTGCAACTTGAGGCCATTTCCTCTTGTCCTGTGGCTTGTTACTTGAGAGAAGAAACTGAGCCCCCACCTCTCTACAACCTCCCTTCAGGTGGTTGTAGAGAGACTTCAACCCACTTAGGCTGTGGTATGCTTTTGAGTGGTTTGTTTGGCCTCAATAGAGAAGACACAAATTTTCTTGTCATTGTGGCTGGCTCTTGCTGTATTGTCAGTGTGAATGTTACTGAGGGGTTTTTGAACCGGCTATGTGTCTGGGCTTTTAACAGCCTATGGCATAAGGGAAGGTGCATTAAGCCATTGAGAATATTTCATCACAAAGAAGCTTTTGAAAGTACGCATCACATACACCTGCCGAGAAGCATCTCAAATAATTGAGCTGATGATAGCGGAACAAGTAAAGTGTGAGAGAGT